GCAACATTACACTGCTGCATTAAAATGTATAAAAACTATATTGTTATGATGTTGATGCGCCGTGAATAAAGATTAAAAAGCTGAACATAGCATCAAGTCACACAAATCCTAAATAAAGGCAGGATGTAGACTGAACCACCTTTCAGGAGGAAGAGAGAGAGTGTACATTTTTCTTCTGTTTGTGTGTCGTGTGTTATTTTTTATTCCTGCTCTTTTTGCTGCTGTAATGCTTTGAATTTCCCAACTATGGGACTGATAAAGGCTATCTTGTCTTACTTTATCTTTACATTTCCAACCTAATGAACGGGCATTTCCCATCTGCTGTTTTCTTTGTATGACCTGCATGAAGCAACATGGTAAAACCTTTTTGTTGTAGTCCATCCTCAGGTCCTCACAGTTACCAACATTATTAAATAGTCTTCATTAAACTGCCCTTCATGCTTTTTGTTGACCTCATGACTTTTTTTTCTACTTAGGTCAGGAAAAGACAAAAGAGTTTTTTTTTAAATTATTATTAATTGACCACAGTTGTGGTTTTCAGGGCTTTTTTTCAAGTTATTTCCCATTTTATTTTCTACTTTCTGTTCTCTTTATTCCTCTCTCGGTTTCACTTCCTGTCCTTTTCAGCTTTCCCTCTTGATATTGTGGCATTTCTCACATGATCTAAGAGAACAAGCTGACAAATTTTCTCTACCCATAAAGGAAACATTTAATACTTTCATTTATCTTTCAGAAACATTCATATACAAAATGTGTGATTTTATTCCCTAGACAGGAGTGCTATTATGGAATATGACTGTTAAATGTAAGCAGCAATTAAATCTGTCAGAGAAATGCAGTGAAGTGCAATATAATAGATGTAGAAAGTGACAGGTACGAGTTTATATCTTCATGAATCACCGAAGTTCTCAGGCGCCTTAAGTGTATTTAAATAAGCAGTGCATTCTCTGTCTTGGCTCAGCTTCCCAAGATGCAGCACATCTCTCTGGAAAAGATGGAGGGGAAACAAATGAATTTTATTTTTCTATAGCTCATGTTTGATAGTTGGCATCTGAACTGTTTCACTGAGATTTGAATGCAAAATGTTGTCAGTATTTGTATATTTACACGACAAAAGAAATATTATTGGAAGATACACAAGCAGGGAATGTGCAGAGCATTACATCATCAACTCATGCGTTAGCCTCACCGGCTATCCGGGACTTCACAAGTGGCCTGCTGATGATGACTGAAGACGCAGACTGTACTTGCAGCACTGAGCTGTTAGCAGCACCATAATGCCCCACATGAAAACATCAGAGGTGGAGCATTGTCCCGCTGCAGTCTCTGCTGTACGTGCTGCTCTGGGCCGCTGTGACACTAATCAAGAAGGACAGCCTGAGCGTGACCTACTTCTGTAGGTGGCTCCTGCAGGCAGGACAGTCACCCTGGAAACAGCCTGAGCCGCCTCCTGCCAGATGGAGGCGATGATACTGCAGCTCAGGCTTTCCTGTTTTATGATGCCAGTCCTCTGGGTCAGTGCTTCTCAGATGGGTCGGATCATGACCACTTTATGATCACAAGCTGCACAAGAATCAGCAGCAAAAGATTTGCTTTCATTTTCTGAGCTGTTTCTTTATCAGAGGAAGCTGTGACGTCTGTCATTGCTTCATAATTTACTACATTTATAAGCAATAGGCTTGTATAGCAGTATTCCTTCTTGGTCTCCAAGTAAGAATCCTCTGGCCAGGCAGCATTATGTTGTCTGTCCATGTTATTAATTTAACGGATTATTACAGCTTGTTTCAGTCTACTGTGTCTTCCTGCTGCACAACAAGTGTGAGCTCTCCAAAATACAAGGGCCGCCTATAAATGAATGAACCATCAGGCGCTGATGAATATTCCGGTGATTAGGCCAGCTGGCCACCATTCCCCAGCAGTGATCTCTAACAACCGTTCCAACGTGTCCATCCCAGACAGCTCGTTGCTGTTTTTTTGCTTTCAGCCAGACTGAAAATTTGCTTTTTGGAAGCTGCAGGAAGCTCACACCAGCTGACCTGATAGCCAGTGTTTTGTCTGTGACTCCACATTTCCTTAAATCTGAACAATGAAGGTGAAGAGTGCAAAGATAGCACAGAGACACAACAGACCCCTATGCCATGTTGAAACTAATCAGGTTCATATTTTGAGTGAGGCTTTTTTGTGGATCTTTGCCCACCTCAGAGTCACAGGATTTCTTCTACGCTGCTCTTTAAAACTTTGTTCATTCCAGCTCCTAAATCTGATGCAGTTCTGCATCAGCTGCAATCACAGCAGCGACTTCAGAACACAAACACTGTTTTCAGCAGCGCCACTGTCATCCGAGACCTTTAATATCTGTCCGCTGAGCAGGCACACTGATGACATCAAGCCTGCAGAGAGGCCTGTACAGGCAGATCGCTATTTTTCCTTGTGTTCTGATTCTTTCTGACCAAATATGTGGATCAGAAGTTTAGGACTAAAATGAAATATTTACTTTTTTATGGATCAAAGACTTTTGGAATAACAATAATATAATAGTGTAACATACTTTCTCATGTGTGGGACAGTTGCAGTCGTCAGTGTCATCAGAGTTCTCATCAGTCATGCTAATTACTTCTGATACTAAGAATACCCAAAGTTACTGCTAACAGTATCATTACACCGAGCTTGGTTGTGATCCCAGTGATATATTGCCAGGACAATATTACTTATTTGAATTACAGTTGTAAAAGTCAGTAGGAGTCACCTGAGGGGAACCTGTGACAGCCCTGGACCCCCAGGGGTGCCCATAGCCCCCAGTATGATTGTGAAATGATGGATTCTGTATCATGAGCATGAGTTTGGCTTCTAAATAAAATCAAATAAAATGCAATGTCCTGACTGTGGTGACCCTGTTGATTTTGATTGTGTGATCCAAATACAATCACACACTTATTCCTGCTCTTAAAAAACAAACAAACAAACAAACAAACAAACAAACAAACAAACAAACAAACAAACAAACAAACAAACAAACAAACAAACAAACAAACAAACAAACCCCACCCAAATCCCAATAATTTAAAGGGTCTAAATTCATATTGTGAATCCGAAATGTGGGCGAAGCAGTCGTGATAAATGACCGTCAGTCACAGATCCCATCATGGCGGGGATCTGTTTTTTTTTTGCTTTCGCTTGTAAATACTTCGGATATTTCAAATCTATAAAGCTTCATTGTTTCAGCAGCTCACGTTCAAATGCTGTATTGAATATTCATGAAAGTTGTCTTGGCCCATTGGAGGATAAGTGTGTCAGGTCTCTGCAGATTCATAGCGGGAAACCGGCGATGGTACTTTCAAAATAAAATTAAACAGCTATAGAAAGAAAGATCACGCTGGCTTTTGGACTTTATTTAGATTCCATTTAAATGAATCTCTAGCTGTAAAAGTTTGAATGAACACTGGAGGGTTTTTCTACCTGCATTAACGGAATTGTACTACTGTAATACTTCACTACCAGTGGAAAGTAGGTGAGACTTTTTTGCTGTTTTTGGTAAGATTTCCTATTTATATGTGTTTTCTCAGTTACACACAGTTCACAGGGTTTGGGGTTTTATTGACATATACCACTTCAAAAATTGAAGTTAAACCTGTTTGGAAAACAAAATCGAGAGCTTTTTACAGCATAAATGTGAAGCCAAATGAAACTTAATTTGAAATATAAACATTTCTGGCTTCTGTGCTGATTTAGTGTCTGTTAACAACAAAACTTGACTTACCTGCTTAAATAAAGGTCACGCTGACTTTCTGCGCCCCTAGTGGTATCAATTTGTATTACACTAATGTGTAGCCTAGCTTATACCAACTTCCGTTAATATCAAAAACACAAAACAAAGATGTTTATGAAATAAAGTCATAGCAGTTGTTTCTTCACATTATCTTAATAGCTTGAGCTAATCTTGGAAGATTTTTAAGTCATTTTAAACACAGCAAATACATTTTAGCACCCTTAAGTCCCAAAGTGGCCTGAGACGGTTTTCAGCAAAGAAAATCTCAAAAATTTACAAGATCGCAGAATCTTCAAGTAACACATTCATTACTTTCAATTGACTCAAAACTTTAAAAATAACTTAACTGTGTTTTATATTTACAAATGAAAAAGTTTAGAGCAAGGCGCACACTAAAAGTGAATTCTTACAAAAAATATGAGAAAAAAGCTGTTTTGGTTAGCTGGAATAATCTAAGGAGCTTGGAAAGAAAAGCGACTGGACTTCAATAGTGGGTCGACAACTCTCTTAAGAGACAACTCCCACTAGGGCTTATATAGCTGGGACTCTTCACCATTTGGTCTTTGAACTGATGAAGCTTCTGGAATGAGAGGTGAAATGAAAAGAATCTTAAAGATGTCCGGTCGCTCTTCCTTCTAAGCTTCACAGATTACCAAGACCTGGATGAGTGAGAACCTTCACAGACTTAACAGACTAATTTAAAAAGAATAACTAGATTTTTAGGGAAAGAGGAAATCTACCTAGTGCACTTAAACAACAACAACAACCCCCCGGAGAAAAACGATTACTCTTTAATTCAGTCAAAAAGCATATGAAGTACTTTTAAACACAGGGATTTGCAACATGAACGCCTCCAGAATTTTGGGTGGCACCACTAAAAATATCAAGGTGGCCCAGGACAGGAAATAGTGAGGGGACATACAAAGTGACACAATACAAATGAATGAAATTGCAGGATTAATAACAAGATAACGTTTCAACTCATTGTAGGGTGTCTTCCTCTTTATTAAATGTATTGAAATTTTTTCCAACATAGAGTGGTCTTTCCAACAAATTTTGTGGGGAGGCCAGTGCCCCCACTATTTCCCCATTGGTGGCGCCCCTGATTTGCAATCAGTGCAACAGGAAATAGTAATAACGTATAATAAATTTTAAAGAAAGTAATCAGAGGAACGGTGACGCGCATCTGATTTATTTTGAAAGGCTTCACCGGAAGTGCGTCTTCTCGGTGGGTCGTGTTTGCCGGTGTCGGTGTGTAGGAGCGGCCGGTTCCTCCCAGCAGCCACACCGTTTAGAAGCAGAGCTTTTCTTCACACAGCAGCAGCGGCACACACCGGATATTCATCTCATTAAAAACACTCACGGCTGGAAGCGGCGAGAGAAGAAGGACTCTTTCCTCGCTCGGTTATCCCTCCCCGTCCCGCCTCTCTGATTTGGGTCGTCTTTGCTCTTTCCCCCCCCCCCATTTTTATTTTTTATTTTTGTACATTTTTGCCTGTGACAGTTTCTCCGTGGCGCACTCAGGTTTCTTTTGCTGACATGGTAGATTATCACGCTGCCAATAACCAGTCGACCGTCGGCGGGGCGCAAACGTACATGGAGCAGGAGAACGACTGGGACCGAGACCTGCTGCTGGACCCGGCCTGGGAGAAGCAGCAGAGGAAGGTAAGGCAGCCGAAGTCTCGGGGCCCAGCTGGGCCGAGTGGAGCCGGGCTCGGAGGAGGCGGGCAGAAAGAAAAATGGCAGTGGAGGAAGGATGCGATGGGGAGGTCAGAGACCGAGTGTGGGCCTCGGTGTAGCTTCACAAACCCCGCATTTACTCCCAGTGCTATTCGCCTTCTCTCTCTTCAGCCCGGGGGTCCTCCGAGCTCTACTCCTCGGTGCAAAGCCCCCCCACATAAGCTGGTTTCCTCTCTCTAAATCACTGAATGAAAAGTCCTGAGTGTGTGTGTGTGTGTGTGTGTGTGTGTGATATTAGCTGCAGCTTTCACTCCTTCAGATGTGATTTTTTTCCCCTCCTCTGAGTGGAAACAAGGCGCCACATTGTTGCAGAAAAATCCACGCTGTGATTGTGCAGACAGCTCAGCCTCACGATAACCGCACAGCGGACTTTACGAAGGCTTCGTGCAGGCGGCTCGCCTCCCTGGCACGCCTGCTTGTGTGGTTGGTTGGAGGCCGATAAAATTGTTGGAAGATCCGACCGATACTGTGGCGTTAAAGGCCGATATTCAGAGAATTTCAAGTTGAGGATTCTCAAGCGTTTCGAGAGATGCTTCGGGTGATATGCGGGCAACTGAAATTCTTTCGCGGTTAACTTTTTTTCTCTTCTATCCTTCAGAGTGCTTTGGTCATTGCAGCTATTCTGAGATCGGTTACAAATGATTACATAGTGATTTGTAGATCCCGTGATGATCGAGGTTATTTAATCCCAAGCCACAGTGCTAAGGTGTTAAAATGAAATAAAGCTGAGCTGTCAGCAGTAATGCTGTACGAGCAGAGCACTTCTCTCTGGTGTGACAGTGGTTCTTCTCTCAGCTCTGGACGCCCACTTCCTGAGCTGCAGATTTGAACCAGCTTTAGGATTATTCAGCAAAAATGTGGAGAAGCCAAAAAACATGAAACCACTCAGTTGGCACCGTGAGTGCATCTGGCTATTCAGCTTCACAGATCACCAACACTCTGACCCCAATAAGAACATTTTGAGTCTTTTCAATAATCTGAAACGTGGTCCCCTTCCTGTCCACGCATCTTTCTCTTCTTCCTCCTCAGCAATGGCTGAGCTAGCTTTTTTTTATTCTTGAACTGCTTGATATTCTGCAAAGTGGTTATAAATGATGTTACACTAGAGCTGCTTGAGTATGACAAAAATACAATTATTTTGGTTATGTAACATGATTAATCCTAAACTTAGTCTTATAATGATGTACGATTGCCCTCCCAAACTTGGATATAATTCAGATGAGAAGGTGTTGAGGGTGACAGCTGCTGCTGCGTCCAGACTAGCAGATGTGACGTTCAGTGGATGCACTTGATGTGTAAAAGAACCCAAATTAGGTCTTTGTAGGGAAGAAGAATGCAGACAAACTAATCACTTTATACTTTCCGATTAATTACCCCGCCCTGTGATGCACCCGTGCTCTTACCACACCACTAAACCGCTCCCACATCAAATGCTTTACCTTCTAAATCTTCAGAAGGGAGCGGCGAGGCGGTCTAATGGAAGATAATTTGAAGTGAGGAATGATTAAGAGTATCTCTTTCATTGACTGGCTGGATGACTGACATACTTCTTGTTGGTGTGACGGCATGCCGAGCCTCGACTCCTGCATTGCTGTTAGGCCGCTCAGCATTTTAGTCATCGCTGACATCACGCTCCCTCCACCTGAGGTTAGGCGACTCTGTGCGCGCTCTGCGTGTTTGCCCACACATCGCACGGGTCAAAGTTTCTTGTAAAGGAAAACCTCTCCTACAATCATTAACAGAGCGGAGGCCTGCAGTACAGACCTGTGCTGAGGTTGGGTCCTGCAGTGGAGGCTGATGGGTATTTGGTTGATTGGGGACGCGTCCTCTTGCCAAACATTTAGCCAGAGTGATGAGGTAGGGAGGGGTACAAGGGCAAATTCCTGTGGTGTATTCATTCAAACTCGCTGTGCCAGTTACTACGCAAAAATGTAGATATGCCTCCCGCAAGCATATCGAGACAAATGGCTATAATGAGTGTGGGAATGGCTTGTCCTCCCTGTGTGTGTGAGGGGTGAGTCTGAAAGGTCAAAAACAGGAGCAGTGTGTCACAAGCAACATTTTCCATCCTGCTGCCTGCAGCCCATTGACAGCGTTGAGTGATATAAGAATGGAAAATCAGCTGGGTTTTTATTAGTTTGGCCTTTTTTTAATTTTGGGGACACCGCAGCTCTACCTCATCGAGTCACGAGGACACTCAAACACTGAAACTTTTCAGTAATCCAGAAAAGAGAAACAAATGCAAGAGGTGCTTGAAAAGAAGACATTTGGCTTTATGCTGCACCAGAATAACTTGTTTCAGGACTCCTGTGAGAGTCATTTCAGCTCTTTGGCAGAAGCAGCGTTTGTCCTTGTAGTTGTCCGTTTCGTACATTTCTCAACACCCCAGAGTAGCTGGACCGAGCCCACGCAAGTCCAGTAAATTGCAGTTTGTTACAGACGAAGCTCCTCGCCTGACAAACGTGCAATTAAGTCTTTCTCGCTGCTCGGTCGCACGTCCAAACACGCCAAAGTACGCAGTGACGCCACCGAAGGCTTTTTTTATTGCCGCTGTGGCAGACTGCTCATGCAAATCCAGCTCCTCAGCGACAGTTAGGCTGCGCATACTTTTTTGTGTCACGTGGCAGGGAGGAGGCAGGGCCAGGTGGGTGGATGAGCTAACGAGGAAAGTAGTAAAGTACTTGGCATCACCAGAGAGGGGCTGTTCTTATTTATCGAAGTGATACTACTTTGAGGTTAATGGAAACTTGCCCCACCACTAGCTTTGGGATAGTTCACACAAAAAGGACAACAGCAGCTGATAAATGTTTTTCAAGTGAAAGAGCCGAGGTGAAGATTTCTTCTTTGCAAAGAGACAAAAATAAAGAAACCTACATGCCAGAGTTTCCTTTCTTCCCTCATCTCCTGTCAGGAGCTCGGAGCAGTGATTGGGAAACGTTTCCTCTCGTAAATCAGCTGTGGTCACCGACTCTGATGGTTATCGGAGGTTATTTTCCTACACTGACAGCCGTTTCAATCTCACAGCCAGTTTGTACTGAACTGATTGTGATATGGATGCAGACTTTGTAACTGACTGAAGGGTTGTGGGCAGTAGATGGGAATCATTTCCATTTTACAGTACCTGTCAGGTGGCTCGTTGGGGCGATTTTATACCTGTGTTAATTATGCTTTTTATTTCTTAGACAAACAGTCCTTTACAATCAGAGTTGATGTGTTTCGGTGCAGATGTGTTCTGCAGTGCAATTTGTTTACAGTGAGCCATCCCCCCCCGCCACACACACACACAAGTGCTCACATTAACAACACAAAACGCACACTGAGTTTTCTTCCATTGCTGGCAAGGTGGGCAGCTGGGCACAATGATAGTTTGTTCTTTTGCCGCCCACTTTCGCATGCTTTCTGTGGAGACTGTGTGGCTGGAAGAAGAAGAAAGTTCAGATGGCCCGGTTTTGGCTCAGGACAAACTGTGAGTGGCATTTTTGTCAGGACAAATGGACCGAACAATGCATCCTGCACCACACTGCATGCAAAGGCTGCCAGGCTGCTTTTCCCCCCCCTCTCCCAGCCTGCCTTCCTGCTTCAAAACAACATTTAAAGGAATGAAGGGAGCTGAAAATGTCTGAAGGAGTCTGGCTAAAAAGCCTGTTTGTTAAACAGCCGTGGTCACTAGTATGGAGACAATAAAAGGAACCATCGGCCTGGGGTGTGGCGGATATCGGAGGAAGCTCGTGTGTTCAAGGAGAGATCAATTGAAGCTGCTTTATAAGATGTCACCACCAAAAATGTGTTTTTCATGTTTAGGGTTTTCAGAGTTCAGAATAAACCAAGTGTGTATAAGATCCAATTTATTATAAAGTATAATTATGTATACTGTTGGGAAATTCCTCTCTGCATTTAACCCATTCACTCAGTGAAGCAGTGGGCAGCCATTGGGCCCCCGGGGATCAGTGTGTAGGGACGGTACCTCAGGGTAGCCGTTCAGTGGATTCGAACCCCCGACCTTCCGATCATGGGGTCACCACTCTTACCTACTGAGCTATCCCTGTGCCATCAAGTAGGTCAGGGATCAGAAAGTGTTCTGATCTGAAATCAAACCATGATCTTATGCAGTAAAAACGAAACCAAAACAATTAGACTGTACTGTGTTGTTGTCTCTGTTACTATGTTGGAGGTGGGCAGCTGGTTACGCTGTCCAACTATAAAACCACAGTGAACCAATCAGGAGCGGAATATCTTATCTGACACAGATGCACTGTAGCTGTACGTGTGGTATCAGGGAAGAAGGGATTTTATTGGCCAGTCCAAGTCTTCGAGTCGTTTGGACACTGGGTGCAATTATGTCTCTTACATGGAAGAATTGATTGAATTATAGCTGTGGGATATTGGCAGAAAACATAATAAATATGGACAGTGTTCATAGCTGTCAATATTTGTTAAAGCTTTTGTTTAATCAGGAAGTCCCTTGAGAGTAATCCTTTGTTATATTTTTTTTGGCCAAGAATGGAAACTATTACAAAAAACAAAACAAAGAAGGTCCAGCCTGGTTTGGATGTTAGACGTCTCGTATTTGCTCACAGTAAATGTAGAAAAGCTCATTTCTTTACGTGTGAAGGAGCTGATACAATAGTTTGCTGCCTGTTTTATGAATCTACGACTTTAGATTTCAGTGGATGATCTTGCTCGACATGATGACACAGGTTAGTGAGGTTGCTTGTCTCTGGTGGCACAAAACCTCTTCCTTGTTTTGGTCTCTAGTTAAAACGGCGCTGTTCCTGCACCACC